GCTCCTCCGCGATGTGGCGCTTCCAGCGGGGGAAGTCGGCGGCGCGGAGGCCCGACGACATGTCGCGCGCTGCCCCGGCGCCTTAGCGCCACCGACTCGAACGGGGTAAGGCGAAAGCGGCCGGCGGCATGGGGACGCCCGGCTGGCGCAGCAAGGCCAGCAGCTCCAGACCTCACCTCCACTCACAGGCCGCCCTCGAGGCCATCTGGGGTGGCCTTCCGGACCCCGCCGGAAATGGTTTTCGCGAGAACCGGAAGACCCGCCCCCTCGCCCGACGTCTTACGCTACACGCACGCAAGCGGCCCGTGCCGACGCTGGGCGCGGGCTAGTGACGTCCGCCCGGAGTCGGGAGCCTCGGGGCCCGCAGTTGGGCGCTAGGGGGCGTCGTTGTCACGCGAGAGGCGCAGCCCGGGGCGGGGAGGAGGCTGTGGCGCGGCTGCGTGTGCCTGGGCTCTCGGTCTCCTTGACTGCTTGCCCCCTTTTCGTGTTTTCTTGCTTGGCCTCGTATTTTTCATCGCCCCAGTTTAGAAACAGAAGCGAGATCCACTCCTGAATCTCTGTGTGTGAGACAGCGTCCCTAAACCTCGGTTTTCTACTCTGTAAATTAGGGGCAGTGATAATTACAGGGTTGTCCTGAGGATGAAAAGGATAGTTGTGTGATGCACCTAGCACTGAGCGCTTGGTAAATCGAGCTTTAGCCGGACTCCAGTGTCCTTCCAGAGACTTCCTAAATTCTGGCTGCTTTAGCAAGAGCATCCCACGGACCTTGGAAAAGATTTTTTTGTTTTATTTGTTTTGTTTTTAAGAGATTTTTGTCTTAAGATGCATGACTCACAGGGGAGAGAGACAGACCATGAGAGGGAAAGTGAGAACTCATTCCCCAGGATGATGGCTGTGGACAACCCCTTCTCTCTCTTCTCTGGATCTTGGGCACACATGCACACGCTCTGGGCATGATTTTGAAGTTACAGTTTCAGATTTGAACTGTGGTCAGCCATGTGGGAGTCCAACGATGTTACTGCTGTGCCAAATGCTGGTCCCTTCTATTTTTTTTAATTTTTTAATTTTTTAATTTTTTTTTTTTTTTGCAGTGGAGTGCCTGGGTCCAGCCTCGTTGGGGGGGGGGTTGAGTTGGGGGTGGGTTGACTCATCAGAGGCAACGCTGGAAAAGAAGAAGACTAAGGCCTCGGTGCCTTTTCATGCACGTCCTTAGCCGGACACCCCCAGAGATCGCTCTCTGAGGAGTGACCACTGCTAGGAATCATGGTGCGTTTTTATTGAAAATGTGATACATGCAAGTAAATGGGAGAGGGGCTACGTGTTTCAATTATCAGCTCATTAAGTTTTAACAATAGAGAACATAGATTTTATTTAGGGTTGGATTAAGGGTGGGTCTAGTGCAGTTCCGCAATTGCTTGTTAGATGTAGGTGGGTCTTTATGGAATGCAGTTTTGGGAAAGTGGCTCCAGCAAGCAGAGATGATTATTAGCCGATTCGGCGCGGCAGCCATCTTGTGATTACTGGGAATGGTGCTGAGAAAAGAAAATCTCAAGTGTAGATATTAGTTCTTATGGATCTTAATAAAGAATGGAACTTATATAATTGTATAGGGATCTAAAACTTAATTCAAGGAACCCTAATATATCTTAAAGGGGTAAAACTTACTGTTTACTAGGTAAGGGCGGGGACAGCTTTTTCAACTGGCGGTAAAGTGACTAGCAAGTTAATGAAGAACTTTAAGGTGAGTTTTTGGCATACTTAAAACGTTCTATTGTGCCTGTGGCACCACTGCTATGTATTTTGTTAGAACATTAGCCATAGTGGGGCGGGAGTGTCCTGGTCCCGTTTTGGCTTAAAAGATTATTCTTAAGCTCATGTTAAATGTATCTTGAAGGGCCCTCCAAAGGTCAGGAAGATTTCTGCCTAGATGTGACTTCATCATACTCTCTATTGTGACTGTCCGGAGTAAAGCATTGTAATTAACAGTAGGTGGTCAGAGCAAAGGGGAGTGGTTGGCGGTGACTTCCTGGAAAATTTTATCATATACTCAGGATGTATAAGAGAGCTATGTAATTCTTTTATAGTAGTATATCAGGGAGCCAGAGGGGGGTCACTTCCCAGCAAGGCTACCACAGTTTTCTGGAGCAAATAGCAAGCAGCCTTGCTGACATGTTAATTCGACCTAAGTCTTATTCCTAGGTCGGTGGGTACACAGCAGCGACCTTGCTGACGTGCTGTCCCGACCTAAGAGGTAAAGGTCAAAAGCTCAACACACATCCTGGGGCCCTACCGGGTCGGACTCCTCCAGTGGAGAAGTGGAATTCAAACAGGAGCTGAAGAAAGATGTGACCAGTGTATCAGCACTGATAAAAATGCAGAAGCGAGCTCTGAAAGTCAACAAGAGGGCCTCTCCACTAGCAGTGGTATCAGCCTCAAGGGTCCATAGCTTCAAGTCTTGACAGTCCAGAGGACATTATGATTAAAATGTTTGCAAACTTTGCCCAACCAGCAGTTCCACTGGCCCGACTTTATACTGAGGTACACTTGTACACATGTCTACATACAAGAACGTTTGTCACAGCACGCTAGTAGCTGAGAGGTGGAAACAGTATGTCCAACATGTTCATTATGTACAGTATGTACATTGTTAAAATAAGAATACAGCAGCCAATTTAATAGAGTTTTAGAGTGTTAACTGAGCAAATCTTAACCTGATTAAAATTGGACAGTTGTCCTCAGACCCTTGGACCACTCCAGCCTCATGGTTGACTTGGTATTTAAGTACTGGAATAGGGAAATTTTTTTGCTGGAATTGGGAAAGAGATGAACAAAAGAAAACAGAAGGAACGAGGGAGGGAAACGGCTGGGTTGGTTACAGGTGGACAGTAGGCTGCACAGACAGCCCCAAAGGCAGGCTTTCTGTGACTGACCGAAGTGTGGCAGCGTGACCAGCTGTAACTAGCAACTAGTTCAGGAAAACAGCATAATGTGTATAATTTCGGCTTATCCACAGGAATTCAAGTGCGGGAGTCCAGCGGCCGCATTAGGCCAGATAGTTTAATTTAACAACGAATATTGTTCAGAAATCATTCATAATAAAAGTAGTGCAGATATAAACCTAATTTTTGTAATATTTTTGTGTCCTCGCTTCTGAGACAGTAATTATATTTGTGTGTGTGTGTTTAGTTTTTTTGCTATAGGGCAAATGGCTTCCCAGAGAGAGACAAAGAGGGAAGGCGAGAGGTCACCTCCTCCAAGGGGGATGTCACGCTGCAGTCCCCTTTCCACCCTTACCCTCTCAGGATTTGGGGCATGCACCTGGCATGCTTTTTAAGCGGCTGGGCCAAGGACTCAAAGTGAACAGCTTTGTGGGATCCAGCTGCCCTAACCACCACACCACCAGCTGCTAAATGAATCAGTCATCTTTAAACCAAGGACACGAAGCTCTACGAGGCCGCCCCTCTCCTAACTCGCACACAACTGCAGTGACACAGAACCCTCTTCTTTCTGCTCTCTGTGGTCCATTCCCCTGCAGGGCCTTAGGATTTACTGTGTGTAAATTTATTGTGTTACATTGTTGGCGTGTTTTGTTTTGTTTTTAAGGAATTATTTAACTTTACGTATTTATTTATTCATTTTAATTTGACCAGAGAGGGACAGAGTGAGAGAGAGAGAAGGAAAGTGAGAAAGCAAGCTACCAGGTCTTCGACTCAATCTGCGGTCGGCCATGTGCGAGTCCAGCGCCCTTAACCACCACACCACCTACTGGCTCCATGTTTTGTTTTCTTATGTGTGTATCTTACATGCATTTTCTCATTGGTAGATATTATACAATACATGTGTTACGCATGCGGGAAGTTAGGGAAAAGAGCATGTATTTATTGATGAAAACCATTTACTCAGCAGGGTGCTAGCTCAGTGGGAGAAACTCAAGCAGGAATACTTTCACAGCACTGTGGGCCATGTGGTCTTCTGTGTATGTTGCATGTTATAACTCACTCTTCCCAACAAGCCCACTCAATAGGTTATTGTTAGCATCTTTTTTTGAAAAAAAAAATTAACTTTATTTATTTATTTATTTATTTATTTATTTTAATTTGACCACAGAGGGACAGAGCAAGAGGAAGAGAGAGGGAAAGTGAGAAAGCAAGCCACTAGGTCCAGGACTTGAACCCTGGTTGGCCATGTGGGAGTCCAGCACCCTTAACCACCAGGCTGCCTGCCAGCCCCTGGCCTTAGCATCTTTACCCTCATTTACAGATGAGGAAGCTGAGGCGCAGAGGGGGTTAAGTACTTGCCCGTGGACAGTTGGCTAGTAAGTGGCAAGGTTCGAATACAAGCAGTGTGATTCTAGCTTCCGCGCCTTAACCTCTGCTCTGTATTATCTGTCTCGTTCCAGCCGACACTGCAGTTTGGCTTGACTAGTACATGAAAAAGAGTCATTTGAATGATGCACATTTCATTTCTGTGTTTACTGAGAGGGAAGGCATCTGGAGGCCGGGTTGAGCCTGTCGTGGGCAGGCCTCAGGTCTAACTTCTGGGAGAGGACATTGCAGGACCCCCAGGTGCCCATGCTAATAGTCAGTGTGATAAAGGAGCAGCTTAGTCTTCCAGGGTGGCTAGAGACAAGGAATTGGAAGAAGGAGGAAATCCGGTTGTCCATAGTCTGGTGGCAGATAATGGACCGTGAGCATTTTTGGTTGTTCTGATAAATACCGAGAGTTTGAAGGGTTTGACAGGCTTCGCTGGGAAGCAGTGTCTGTAAAATGCATTCTGATTGCTGATGATGGATGGGAGGTAAGTGTAAAGTCGCTCAAGGTCCTCGTCGCTAGGTGACCAGCAGCACCAAGGTGCTCAGGGGAGTGGAAGCGGCTTCACTTACCGAAGGGTTTTCTCGCGGAGATCTGGTATGATAGAAACCTAACGGCATGCCCCCTGCTGAAACGTGCAGGTGAGTCTCCCCTTCACCGGGGAGGCCTCCACTGCTCCTCCGTGAGACCCCCTAGTTTTGCTCCAGCTTGGAGTTCAGGGTCCAGCCTTCAGACAGTCGTCCCGTTTGCTCACTTCCTTGCCCTTTCAGGGTGCTTGCTTTCCCTTACCTTTCAGGCCTCAAGTTCAGCCCCAGGGTGCACCAGATAGAGGAGGAACGTGGCTTGAATCCAACCTGGGGTGCTCAGCCTCCAGGAGGGGAGATCTAAGCACATGTGTGTTATTGGTGGCTGAAACCGATAC